CTCTCTTCCTTCCTTCTTCCTTAGATAAGTTTTGGGATTCAATGAAGATGGCGTCTTCGTCTCTTCCTTGTTGTTCTTCTTCCGTTTCCATCTGTTCCATTGTCTGTTGGTAATTGACCAGCGCCATTTCTAGAAATAGAAAAGCTTTTTCCATGCCATCTTTGCAGGTTGCTTTTGTTTGCTCATATTCATCCCTCAGGTCTTCAAAAAGGAAAGCCATTATAAATAAATCTTTTCTTTTCTTTATTCCTCTTTCTTCTTACACCAACCAAATATTCCGAGAGAAAGGCAAAACAATCCCAAAATCCACAATCCTCAATAAATCCAAGCAAGCCAAAATTCCCCCTTCCTCTTCCAGGGGTGGTATCAAACAAATAAAAAAAAAAGAATCCAAGTCTATATTTTAAAGCCTTATTAAGATTGTATTTCTGTCCTCAAGTCTTCAAGGCATCTCCTCCAACAAGATCCAAATTAATATATTTTCTTTATCCTCTCCCTTCCGGCTTAATTCCGTCGGGAGGGAGAGTAAACTTTCCCTTCAGCACCTCAAAATAGCCGCTTTTTTTTCTCTTGTGGAAGAAATCATCAGAAAACCATCTTTTCCAGGAATTAAATTAGAAAAATCTCAAAGCCCTGGGTCGACCAAGAAGAACTTTTACTTTCAATAACTTTCTCTTCTTCCTCCTGCGCATACTTGCCCGGCTGTCAACTTCTTTGTGGCGGCCATTACGGACCGCCGCTGCACCGTCCTGGTAACAGGGGGTTCTGCCGGCCAGGGAGGGGGTCTGCAACACCCCCAAACCCTTCCTCCGGATCCCCCTTACCTTCAGCTACCCCTGCAGGGCAGCCTTGCTCCGCACCCGTCCGGGTCGGAGCCCCAAAACGGCTAGCGCGGCAGGGATCGCGCAGCTTCGCGAATCCCTACCGCTCGCGAAGCCGACAAACCGGAAACTCCCAACACTGAAGACATTTCTTGTCTTCACTTTTACCAGAAGAAACAGGATCACAAACACACTGTAGGCCAAAAAAGCCACATTGGGACAGAGGCCCATTGTTTTTTAGCTGTCTTAAGAATTCTGTTAATGCAAGACAGGATTAGCCACATTTAGAGTTTATTTTAAAAAGAGACGCATAAATTTTACAAAATATTAACTTTGTATCCATAGGATTAAAAAAATTACTTAAATGTATTTTAATATTTTTTTAAAAAATCTTAAGAGATACAAGGTTTTGTCACAGACTCCAGAAATTTAGAAAATATTTGATAATGTTACCAAATTCTTCATCATCTTTATCAGGGGTGTGGTGGCCATCAGGTCAGATGCATCACGTGCTGGCTACGCCCACCCCAGTTCCATGAAGGAAAAAAAACTACACAATACATCACGTGATGGCAATGTGACATGGCGAGTTTGACACCTGTGATCTTCATGAATAAGTTCATCAAAATTATAGCAGCAAAAATGAAACCAATCTAACTTTTCCCACGCACAAGTAAATATGAGGGATACATCAATTAATTCCCTCATTCCAGAAATGTGGCACCTACTTCCAGAGCAAAACAACAGTTTTAGTAAGTAAATATAGTCCATGTTTAGTGACTGCAATTGGAACTGGCAACTCACTAAGCAAAACAGCTGTTACAGTAAATGGGAAATCATGTGACTGCAAGGGTGCTTATTGGCTCAAAACTGAGACTTTACATCTGTCACTTTTGCCTACCTTCTGACCTCCTTCCCTTCCTTTGAAATGGTAAACCCAGGATATTTAACAAGAAGGAATTAATATCTGTATTTACATTGATTTGAGAGGAAGGGATTACAAGAGAATAAGCAGACTGACAATGGGAGTACATATTGAAAGCAATGCTGGCACTGGCAGCTTCAAGTGCATAACATAAACAGCTTGCTGCATTCCCCACTAAGTGCCTGCTTACTAGTCTCTTGTAATCCTTTCCTCTCTAAACTTTCTGCTCTGGAGTAGAATTAACCAGGCACATGAGAAATTGCCTACAGCAATTGCTTGCTTTTTTTCTCTCCCCCCCCCACCTCGCAAAAGGGAGAGATTGAAGAATATATAAGCATACAATGGGAAATTATGTGGGCTGTTTGTGTAGCTGCAAACACCAGCACATTGCTTTCAATGTGTATTCTTCACTGTGTACTTCCTTACTTTCTTGTATTGACTTTCTGTTCAATCTCTCTGCTCTAAAATCAGGAGAGGGGGAGAAAAGCAACAGCACATTACATTCTGATGGCAATGTCAATCACATGATTAAGAGACAGTACTAGCATAACTTCAAAAGGTCACTGAATGAGGCTGTTGATAAATGAGGATTAACTGTAGAAATCATCTGAAAACAATCATAGAAACTTGCTCACTGAAACAACACTCTCATTAATAATAAGTTTTATGTTGAGTTATCCTTCCAGTGGAAGTTTCCTTCTCTAAGCTCTCAGCCCGGATAGGTGCCTCTAGATAAGAAACAAAGCACCTCAACCTATTAAGTAAATAAATCTCACGCTTGTTCTTCTGGCTAAACATACTTGGGCAATTGGCCAATTTCTTATTTGTCAAAATGCCAATTTATCACATGTATCCTACAACTGTAATTTTCACTTTGTCTAATTAGTTGAGGTGGGAATTATATCGTGCCATCTTAGGTGCACTGCAAACTGGTCTATGGTCAGGATTCGGAAAGAAGAACCTTTGCAATAGTTACCTCTGACAACAAATCTATGGCAGCTTCCTATACAATTTCCTATGCAAAATGTCAGAGGTACACCATTATATACTGCTGAAAGGAGACTGGTCACTCAGCACATAATAAACCAAGTTTATTATGATTTCTGATCCAGTTTCCAGGTGCACCACATACTGAACTGCAAATATAAACTTTTAGCTAAAAAAAGAATTGCTTTTAGTCATTCTGGCTGTGAAAGGTAAACTTGAAAATGTGTGAGTGAGGCCTAATGAAATTTCACAGCTTCTTACGAAGCATGTTTTTCAATGCTCTGCATATTTTTCTTTGTTCCTTCATGACCAGAAAGAGCTAACAAAGTTGGCAAAAAGAAAGAAAGAAAAAGAAAAAATAGGCAAGCAGAAAGACATTTATATACTTTTTAAAATTTAGCTATTGCTGAATGTTATTTGGAAACATTTGAGCAGGTTTTCATTTTTCTTATATGTAAATAAAAATATCCATGGATGGATTCTCAGACCATAATTATCAAGGAAACAATAAACATAGCAGATATAAAAATATAACAGAGATCAGGGTTAATACTGTCATTCAGTCCCTAACATCCAAAACTAATAATTCTGATACATTCCACACAATATTTGCCGTACTAATGAATTACTGTGGGGAAAACTGTTTTTTGTTACAAAAAAACTACATTTGACCATGAAAAAGGGATATTTTTTACTCAGCTTGATGGAACACCCAGAAAAATAAACTTTATAGAGTTCCAAGGAAATGATACCCAACAACTAAAATTCAAGTCACAAATCTCCAATGGGCAGAATTCTACCATGTAGAGATTTGATATTGTATTTATTATCATTTATCATTTCTATAATTATACTAAATCCTTGACTTACATTTAGTGACCATTCAGTTACAATGACACTGAAAAAATGACTTATGCCCATTTTTCTCACTGACCACCATTACAGCATCCCCATGGTCATGTGATCAAAATTCGGATGCTTGGCAACTGACTCATAGTTATGACAGTTGCTGTGTCCTAGAGCCATGCAATCCCCTTTTGCAAGCTTCTGACAAGCAAAGATAATGGGTAAGTCGGATTCACTTAACAACCATGTTACTAACTTAACAGCTGCACTGATTCAACTTATCTGTGCCAAGAAAATGGGGCAAAACTCACTTGAATGTTTCACTTAGCAAAAGAAAGTTTGGGCTCAATTGTGGTTGTAAGATGAGGACTACCTGCATTGTATTTCTACACCTCCTAAATTTCTTCTAATAACACATCTTTTTGATTAAGGGTACACTTCCTTGTTTCACTGTATACTTTGTTAGGAGACAAAACATATGTGGTATTCTAGCATGCTGTGTCAATTTGAGGCAGCCAAGAGACATATCCAGAGAAGGATCTTATTCTGCAATTACTTCAATTGAAATAAAAAAATCTGTAACCTTAATATGCTTTCCCGCCACTTATTTAACCTTCTACATGAACACAATGCACATACAAGATGCCCGGATGGTAGGACTGCTAACTAAAAACACTCCAAGACTAGCTCCTCCCCCCCCCCCCCCCCATCTAAAAGATTCAACACACAAGCATTTTTATGGACTTCCTTCCTACAAGCCTTTTGTGAGATTTAAGGCTTCATTTCTGCTCCTTAATTCATCTTTATGAAAAAGAGTACGAACTATTAGATCCCACCAGTGGTGGGATTCAAATTTTTTTACTACTGGTTCTGTGGGCGTGGCTTGGCAGGTGTGGCAGGGGAAGGATACTGTAAAATCTCCAGTCAGAGGTGATATTTTCCGGTTCTCCAAACTACACAAAATTTCCGCTACCGGTTCTCCAGAACTGGTCAGAACCTGCTGAATACCACCTCTGGATCCCACCCACATCAGTGCAATCACATTGTATATTTTATGTTCCCAAACAGGCTACAAAGAGTTGTCCCCAGCTTGAAAAAGTTTACTCAGCCCCATTTGCAGAAATTAACAAAAAATTACCCATGCTTCCTAATAAAAAAGGCAAAGGTTTCCAACTGTGTCCCTAATACTAGGTTATGTGTTTATTCTGTTCCTATGTATCTGAAATAAACATTATATACTTCCAACCTTAATCCAATTATCCACAGCATAAGAATTGTATTTAGATCTTTCTGTGATTTTTTTCTTGACTTGTTAGATAATTCATTCATTTTCATCTCAGGGTGCTCTCTGGACTCTGGCTTATCTCTGGAGCAAGAAATAAAACCTTATGAAGCCTGCCATTATATAGTACTAGACTTACCTGTGACTTCACAGTCTTCCAAAGCAGCATCTGAATCTTGATGAATGAACATGGATAACAAACTGGTACCCTCTTTATGACTATACATCTCAGTCACTTTCCCTTCACTATTCATGGCTTCTAGTTTCTCTGAAGAATTTGGGACAGCCTCTTTCAGATCAATCCCCCCTTCCTTTGATGCCCTCAACAAAGCTATGAGCTCAAGAGATGTTTTTGCATCTTTAAAAAAAGTAGGAATTCTCGCTTCACCTTGGGGATACTCAAGGGCAATAAGATCCTCTTTGTTTGACACAAGGGTCATTGGCACAGCTTTTCCTTGGTCATCCTCATGCTCTTTCTCCTGTTCTGATAAAGCAGTGGAAACCGATTTCTCCATTCCTTGTGGATTCCGCTGTGTCAATTTCACAAACCAAACATCAAGGCTTTGGTGGATTTGCAACAATTACTGCCAGACAACCTATAATAAAAAAGGTATCATAATGTCTCGTGTTTAGAATAATTTAGAAGGATGAATTTCACACAACTCTTTTTGAAATATGCTGATTGAAATATAATGTACCTATTACAAATATTCATTATGTGATTTAGAACAAAAGTCTCTTATCTAGGGGTAGAGATCATTTCTAGAGTTGAACAAAACTATTTTATTCAACAGAATAAATATAATAATATACACCAAGTCAAACATGTTTTATTTACAGCCTTGTCTTGCCTGTAAGACAGCTTAACTCAGATGACAATCTATAACATAGGTATCACAGCTGCAGGAGGATATTGATATATGGCTGGAGTAAACCAAGAAAGTGTGAGATTTCAAGCACCAAACTTGACTTCAAGCATCAAGCTATACTGCCCTATACAAAACTTTAATATTTACTGCAGAAGACAAGGATATGACATACATATTTTGAAGCCTTGACCACTAGAGTTTTATAGTATTAGAGTGCTTTCAACTTGATTTGTGGCAAATTGGTGTCAGAAATTCTATATAATGTATAGAACAGCATTTAATGAGAATTATGTCTCAGTTGCATTTTATCTATTGTGGGATAATTCCTCACCATATTCTGAAATAAAAGTATAATCTGAAGCTTACATGACATGCATGAACAGAGACAGTTGTCTATATGTATGCATGGGAAGGGAAATAGAAAAAAAAAACACTAGCAAGTATATCATTCTCAAGCAGGAAGCTCTTTCCTATTGGTCACTTAAATGTATGACTAATCTTTATTACAGATACTGTCAGTATTTCATTCAGCTGTATTAAGTAAGTATTAAATGTAGAATTGCAATCTATGTACAATTCAATAAAAAGCAATTCCTAAAAGGAAAACACAATTTTCTCCAAAGAAACATAACTATCTACACCTAGGATTTATATTGAGTTTATTGAATTACACAGATGAAGATACATTATGGTGGGAAAGTTGTATCAAACTGACAATTCTCAAATCCTATGTTATACATATTTTTAACATTTTGCTCTATTTGGTAAGGAGTTACTACAAAATAAATCAGAAAAAACAGTGCCACAACAAGAAATAAATAAATAAAATAATTTTAAACATCAGTTAATTCAGTCTTTTAAGAAAACTTTTTAAATAGTCTCAAATGAACAGGTTTACTATCTGATACCAAAGGGACCATAAAATAACTATCAGACAAGCTTTTCTAGGAATGGCATTTTCTGTTCAGGTCAGCATTCCAGTAACCATCTGCCAATCTCTATTTGGCAGGAGACACCTTGAGCAATCATCCTGACTCTAAGGTGTTCATGTAATTTTGCCATGATTTCTATTATCTCTGTGCCCAAATAAACCAACTGCCCATGTGACCTTATTTCTTTCTGTATAAACTCTTCTTTCAAAGTAAGATAAAACTAGTTGAAGCTACATTTAAGTAACTTTTTTAAATAAAAAAAATCCATGTCTAAATTTAATTTGGAATTCCATGATGTCTTATATAAAGAGTCTCAAACCTTTTTGGCCTGTGAGCCCATTGAGGTTTTGAGGATGATATGGCTGGGTGCTATCATAAAATGCCTGGTATGAAGTGTAGCTAATATGTCGTATTGGAATAAAGTATTCCTTTTTAGAAAGGAAAGAAGATGAAATTAGAATGCAAGCACACTGTTTTAATCCCATGTTTCTTGTATCAATTCTCAAAAAGGTTAGCTAATTTCATAAAATAACTTCTAAAAATTTTTCTAAAAATAATTTTCCCAAATAGAAGATTAACTTTGAAATTACTTCCTTTCAAATGCAAAAATGAGCAAACCCCATAGTGCAAATATAATCATTCTTTCACAATCATGTTCAACAATAAATAAATAAAGGGAGAAAGGGAGACAGATCTGGTCACATCCAAGTTTCTTTATCTTGAGTTCCTACATAAATGACAGTTGACTATGTTCACATAACTAAGCCATGAACAATAGTTTACAGATCACAAGGACTTACTTAATTGTAAGCCAGTCCCCTCCCAGCCACATTGTCATTTAGTAAGTGTGTAAATCTAGTCACTGTTTTTCTATTTCCAAGATATTACATGTATATATTCTTTTCATCTGTTATACAAACAATCATGCATTCTATTCCTTAATCACACAAATATAGACATCTGTCTTTTTCTCTTCTACTTTGTAAGGCTGATTCTTCCTCATTGAGTCAATCAACCCTCCAATTTCCTCTCCCAGGCTCTATTTCTCTCCTATTTGTTGGCTCTTCCTACTTCTCTCTGAAAGAATAGGAAGAATTAAGGATGGCTATCCTTTTGACTTTCAAGCATAGTTAATTGCAATAACTCTGTTCCTAATTTAGCTGGTTGGAAAGCAGAACTGGCCTCCAACTGGTCTACCCTACTTCTATGGATACACATTAAAATGCACTTTTCAATTATATAATTTTGCTGAATCATATTCAATTTGCAATCTACCATTCAATATATTTTTCTTAAGTATAATTTCCAAGTCAGTTATTTCCTGTGTGTCATTGTGTTCAAGAAGTTATAGACAAAACAGAAAAATGCTTCTGCTCTTCTGTTAACCTATGAAGTCCATTAATGGGACACTCTCACCAGGAGAACTAAATTCAGAATTCTAGCCACTGAGTTCATACTTTTAAAATAAGTGTACATAGGATCTAGAATTTGAAGTATATATTTTTCTCTCATTTCATGTCATAATATCTACTTTTTGTTCTGAATTATATATGAAGTGTCAACTACATCCTGCAGTGGTGAAGAGGAAAACAGGCATATTAATTAAAAGCAAATATATTAGTCATAGACCACTTTATGAACCGATATACATTAAATTATAGTTAGCTTGAAAAAAAAGACAAATTACTGTGGATGGTCATATAAGCTGTGATCAAGCCACAGTTTTGATAAACTATGTGTTTTGTCTATTATATGACATTTATCACATTTGGATGACCAAATTGCTATTTATCAAATTTATATAACTGCCCATCTCACAAGAAGCAAAAAAAGTACAAAAACAGTTTAGTTATTAACATAAACATAGTTGTATTATCAACACTGCATAGCATGCAAAGAAGTACCCCGGTGTGTACATGGAAGTTGGATAAAATTGCTGCACTTCATTATTTTTCATGAACAACATTTTAAACAATATATTAACAGAGAGATTGGCAATACGTATTATCTCATCTACAGTCAATAGTAGCTGGTTCTAATGGACTCAGATTGTTTCCTTAAACAGTAAGATTCAGACAATTTATTTGGAATCAAGAAAACATGGTTATTTCATCCCAAAACCAATGCCAGTGGAAAATCAACAAATACAGTTACCACTAGGAGGAGATAGATATTCATAAGTGAAATTAAATGAGCTGTCTGCGGCTGTCTAAATACATATACATGGTATGTGGGTAAAAACAGAAGACAACCACTTCACAGTTTCCTCAGTATGTAGTATTTATTATATCTTTATTCTATATAAATTGTTCTTGAATGACAAATTGACCTCCACCCAAAGGTCAGTAGTCTCTTCAACATGCCTCCTTACAATCTGCTTTGCTGTGGCAAGTACCTAAATTGACCTTATAAATGTTATTGGGAGTTTGCAAAGATGCTACACCAGAAAGGCAGTAATCAGCAGAACGATGGTGAACTATAGTTTAGTTTTTAACATAGTTGCTCTAACCTACCTCCGACATTCCTCAACTGGGACCTTTGTGTTAAATAACTAAATAAGACAGGGCACTAATTTTTTTATAAGTTTAATGCATACAGCATATTGAATATAGTTGATTAATACACTGCCATGATTCCCTTGCCATGCATCTTTGACAAGAAAAGCACATTTACTCATGAAAGAAATCATGCTAAGTAATTTATCTCAGGTACAAATGTTAAAAAAGCAAAGGTACTACAATTTGTTATTCCAAATGGGAAATGCAAAAATGTAAAACATAAGCACTACTGCTTGCTGAAATGAAAAATACACAAGAAAAACAAAATGGCATTATTATCATAATTTACCAAACTATCAGAAGTCCATATAGTAAGGCTGTGTTTATATATTATGTTAAGTCATGCTTTCTTCAATAAACTACAATAGCTGGATTCATATAACACACTAAGCTAAAACCAAACACAGTGTGTGTTAATATAGTGTGAAAGCAATTAAATTATCATAGTTTTAATACCCTTACTTGAACATTATTCAAAATAATCCACACAAAATACTGGACTAGGAATATGATCATTGCTGTTTAAATAAACTAAAACTTATGCACATTTATTCATTCCGAAGTTGTGTTATTATATTTACAGTACTCTTAGAGAAGTATATGTAAAATTGCAGTGATGAGGAAGAAAATTGTACTTCTGCTTCCAGAATTTATAACAAAGTTACACAGATATAACTTCCTTTAACCGATTATCATATGTTGCTTTACAGTATGTACTGATATATCAATTTTTTTGTAAATGAAAGAGAAAAAATTGTACAAGAGTTTGACATGTATAAAATGCTATTTTTATTTTAAAAAGTAATAGCACAGTTTAGGTTAGGTCTCAGTTTTAAAGAAATTACAATCTGAATTTCAACTATATAGAAGGCAAAGAAAGAAATAATAAAGATGACAAAGAGAAGGAAAAGAATTGCCAATAAATGTTTTCAGCAAACATTTCCCTGCTATGAGTAATATACAAACATATACTTCAATTATTAGTTAATAGACTTCCCATTACATCATTAATTCAATAAGGTCTTATGATGAAGAATTCAGTAAACTGAAAAACGTAACCACATACTACTAGGAAGCAACAAAGATTTCAGTTTTTTAACAGCCATATTATAATCTGCAATTTACTTAAGGCGAGTAGCAATTGCTAAGTGTGAACGGGAAAATGTCTCTGTTCTGACTAAACCTTGTTATTCTCAGTATAAAAAATAGTTTACAAATGTAAAAATTGTTCCCTCAAGGATCTAATCCCAAGCCAAAGCTGCTTCCATGAATATAAGAATTTCTTCTTAGTTATTTTAATTTTTTTTGCTCATTGCAGATATGAAAGTTACTAGCAACAAAACCTGGTATTTCATTGTTATATTTTGAAGCTCACATTCAATCTAAGGCTATAGTTAGAAGGGCAAGAATCTCCAAAGCTCTTCTTCAAATAATACTTTTGAGAATATTATAAAAATCTTTATTTATATGATGACTCATAAAATGCTATGATGGGCATTAAGACTACAGAATTAGGGAAGTTCTGAGTCTGTCTCAGTTGAATCTATTGGATAATCATTCTATAGATACAATTGATGTAGTAACTGCTTAAATGAGCAAAAATATACATGTAGAACTGACATAATGTGGACAATGCTTGATAGAACATTCTATTAAATTTTAAAGAATTACAAGTTTATCATTTTTGCTACAATAGATTTAAAGTTACTGTATCACTGAAATATCTAAGAAGAGACTGTCAACATACAGTACATAATGTAGTCTAATGTGGTGTCTTTGAATTCTGCATTTTGTAACTTTTCCTAATATCCAGGAAATAGCAGCGAAGCACTCAGTAAAGTAGTTCTTTGAAGCAAAACTATAAACGTTTTTGTTATATGCAGCTAAAGATACATCCTTTTGGATAGCTCTTGCTATTACTAATATCCTTATTCCATTTCTCTCTTTCTTACAATGTGTGTGCTCTTGTATATGTGTGTTTGTGTATGTGTTAGTATTTCATAATAAGATGGAAGAGAGAAATAGTAAGGATTTTCACTGGAAGTCCATTTAAATTCCATTAAAATTTTGTGAACTGGCAAGACAATTACAGATTAATATTTGGAAGAACCTCTAAGTGAAGCAAACAGAAAAGGAATTATAAAAGATAAAAATTATCCTTTTATAAGTCTATCCCTAACATCATTGGTGCCTAAATTTAACAATATTATCTCCTTTCTTCTCAAAATAATTAGTTTACAATTTTGGTTGTGAACAATTAAACATAGCATTTATCCTCACTGATGATGTTCATCACATTTTTGACATTGCTTGTTCAGTGTCACTTTCAGCACTCTATTAGATATTTCCTAATGGGAAGCACCAGTCTCCCTCAGAAAACTTAGGTCTCAAACTATGACCATACACTTTTTTATTTCAAACACAAGCAGGATTTGGATAGTGTAAATGTTATATAAGAATGATAACAGGAAATATTTCCCACAGGTTATAGAATAAAAGAATCTATAATAAAGAATACATGCCTGAGGAGTCAGGTATATCCCTGTTTCCAAATGTATTTTTCTTCCAAATAAGTAGGTTTAAGATTGTGTGCCTGGGTATTGTAGTAATTGTTTCACTGGTTAGCTATTCAGGTAAGACCCTAGTAAACTGCTTGATCCAAAAAAACACATGCCAAATGAGCAGCCAGTTTCAGTGACAGGAACCTTAAAATAATAATTCTACACATTCTTACTAAGAAGCAGTTCCCATTGAGTTCAAGCGAATAATTGGATACAAAAGTGCAATCTTAAGGAAAATAAATTTTATACAGGCCATGCCTATTATTAGTCACAAGCCATGTCCATTATCCAGAACAGACAATTGTTTTGAGCTAGTTGAGGCTGAGCCCTTTCAGATGCAACAACTTCGAATTTCACAAGAACTTTGCCCAGGGCTAAATCACCATAGAAATAATCCTCTATCCTGAACAATTTATTCCACTCACCTGGATGGTCTTATGCTCCCCACATCCAAGAGGAATATGAATTTACTCCCCCAGCGAAGAACCTCGACAGACAGACCCAAGCTCACACCTTGTCATCATCATATCGTCCAAATCTTACCGCCAATGGCTACCTTCAGGAGTCTAGCACTCATGAACCGCTGAGTGCCTTACAGGGCCACTCGCCCCCTTCCCCTGCACCTGTCCTGTCTGAAGTGACCCCCAGCCGCCGCCGCCGCCGCCTCTTCGACTCTTCCAGCTCCTCTGTCCCCGGCCAGCTTCCACGGGACCTGTCATTTGCCCCGTGTGAACGCAGCTGCAGGAGCCGACCACCCTCTCCTCGCGCCCCTAGTAAAAGGAGCCGGACCCGCCACCCCGCCCGTGGCCTACCTGCCACTCACCTCCCTGACAGCAGGACTGGTTTTGCGGGCACACTCTCGCCTCCCTGTCACTTGTCTTCTCCCCCCCGCCCCCCGCCTCGAAGCGCCGCCCCCTGGCTCCCTCCTGGCTACATCCCCTCCGACCAGGTCCTTCTTCCCGGTTCCGCTCTGCCTCCCGGGTCACACTCACCATCCTGTGGCGGGGGCCGCCGCCTCTGCCGCCACCGCCACCCCGCCCCCCCGGGCGCTCAGGGTTGGGTCGGCTGGTCTGCTTGGCTCGGGCAGAACTGCTGCCGTCCCTTCCTCTTCGGTCCCCCGCCCGGCTCCGGCCTCTCCAGCAGCACCAGCAGCAGCAGCAACAGCAGCCGAGGCTGTCGCGCCGGGGACATGGCTCCTTTAAAGCCCCCCCCCGCCCCCCCCCGCCCCCCGTCCCCCCCCCCCCCCCCCCCCCCGCCTTTTCCCTCTCTTCCCTACCCGGCCAGCCCAGCTGCCTGGGCTGATCCGACCGCCTCTCCACCCCTCTTCCTTAGAGTCGCAGGCACAGAGCGTCTATAGCAACACAACGGCCGCAGCGCCATGTTGGGGGAAGCGAGGCGAGACGCTCCCCTCTGGCTCGCGGGTGACGTCACAGGCAAGGGAAGGGCCTCGGGCTTCATTCTACGGGAGGCCCCGGATCCGGCTCTTTGCCAGGGATCCGGCGTCGCGAAGCGGGGCCGTGCGAAGCAAGCCGATGTTCCTCGCGGTGGCAACGTGGCTTCTTTGCAAGGCACACACCCCTCCCCGGAAAAGTGAGCTGAGGCGGAGAGACGTTGTATGCGAAGGCAGATGGTAATCGGGAGGGAAGCGGACAGGTGTCCAGACTCCTCCGCCTGCAAACCTGGGCGACGCGATCCCTTTAAACGGGAGCAAAACCCGCGCTTGAGCGAAGAAAGTCGAGAGGCGGGAAGTTAATTCCACGGCTACTTACTGCGGCGCTCTGGCGCGCGCCTATCTGGAACCAAAAGCACCGCTGAAGATGCCACAATCCGGGCTGGAAGGGGACGAAGACAAGAGAACCGCCGGCTGCTGGCTTGTTTCAGAAGGCCGGCCAGCCTGAGAGGAGCGGTCGCCTCGAAGAAGCCGCCTGCACGAACAATACACGCCGATTGAGATGATTGACGCATCCCTGTGCTTTTCTTTTTCCCTCAGCACAAGTATATAGGCTCAGATATCACTCGGGCAGGACTTCGCAACCCGTTCTCCATACCCAGCCAGCCGAGCAATGTTAATGATGAAGAAAGGCATAACGGGATTTGAAACTTTCCGAAGAGGTTGGAGGTTGTGGGTCCCCCCCACAAGAAAGTTAGGTTATCTCTCTTCTTTCTAATTTGCTTTTCTTAAAAGATTTTAATTCATAGAATGAAATGTAGAAATTGGGACTGTGCAGGCCAATTCAGTGTATGTCTATATGTACAGGTGAAACTCGGAAAATTAGAATATCGTGCAAAAGGTCATTTATTTCAGTAATGCAACTTAAAAGGTGAAACTAATATATGAGATAGACTCATGACATGCAAAGCAAGATAGTTCAAGCCGTGATGTGTCATAACTGAGATGATTATGGCTTACAGCTCATGAAAACCCCAAATCCACAATCTCAGAAAATTAGAATATTACATGCAATCAATAAAACAAGGATTGTACATAGAACAATATCGGACCTCTGAAAAGTATAAGCATGCAGTACTTGGTTTGGGCCCCTTTTGCAGCAATTACTGCCTCAATGCGGCGTGGCATGGAAACTATCAGCCTGTGGCACGGCTGAGGTGTTATGGAAGACCAGGATGCTTCAATAGCGGCCTTCAGCTCTTCTGCATTGTTCGGTCTCATGTCTCTCTTCTTTCTCTTGGCAATGCCCCACAGATTCTCTATGGGGTTCAGGTCAAGCGAGTTCGCTGGCCAATCAAGCACAGTAATCCCACAGTCTTGTTGAACCAGGTTTTGGTGCTTTTGGCAGTGTGGGCAGATGCCAAGTCCTGCTGGAAAATGAAGTCAGCATCCCCATAAAGCTCATCTGCGGAAGGAAGCATGAAGTGCTCCAAAATCTCCTGGTAGACGGCTGCGTTGACCCTGGACTTAATAGCACAGTGGACCAACACCAGCAGATGACATGGCTCCCCAAATCAACACAGACTGTGGAAACTTCACACTGGACTTCAAACATCTTGCAGTGTGTGCCTCTCCATTCTTCCTCCAGACTCTGGGTCCTTGGTTTCCAAATGAGAGGCAAAAGTTGCTCTCATCAGAAAAGAGGACTTTGGACCACTGAGCGACAGACCAGGTCTGTTTTTCTTTAGCCCAGGTAAGAGGCTTCTGACGTTTGTTGTTCAGGAGCAGCTTGACAAGAGGAATATGACATTTGAAGCCCATGTCCAGGATCCGTCTGTGCCTGGTAGCTCTTGATGCACTGACTCTAGCCTCAGTCCACTCTTTGTGAAAGTTCCCAACACTTTTGAATGCCCTTTTCCTGACAATCCTCTCCAGGCTGCGGTCATCCCTGCTGCTTGTGCACCTTTTTCTTCCACACTTTTCCCTTCCACATAACTTTCTATCAATGTGCTTTGATACAGCCCTTTGGGGACATCCAACTTCTTTTGCAATTACCTTTTGAGGCTTTCCCTCCATATGGAGGGTGCCAATGATGGTTTTCTGCACAACTGTCAGGTTAGTCTTTTCCATGATTGTGATTCCTACTGAACCAGACTGAGAGACCACGTAAAGGCTCAGGAACCCTTTGCAGGTGTTATGGCTTAATTAGCTGATTAGAGTGGGACACTTTGAGCCTAGAATATTGAACCTTTTCACAATATTCTACTTTTCTGAGATTGTGGATTTGGGGTTTTCATGAGTTGTAAGCCATCATCTCAATTATGACACATAACGGCTTAACTATCTTGCTTTGCATGTAATGAGTCTATCTCATATATTAGTTTCACCTTTCAAGTTGCATTACTGAAATCAATGAACTTTTGCACAATATTCTAATTTTTTGAGTTTCACCTGTAGATCTCAATAAGTATTTTTCAATGTAAACCCCAGTGAGTAAACTGGGGAGTACTCCATAACATGTACATTTAGGTTTGCAATTTTGATTTTCATTCACAATTCAGAATAAAACTTTCATTGTTAAGTGAGTCACACTCAATTTTACAACCTTTTTTACCATAGGTTTTAAGCACTATGGTCTTTAAGCGAACATGTAGTTATTAACAAATTTGGCTTCCTCCATTGAGTTTGCTTATCAGAAACCATTTGGGAAGGTCAGCAATTATGATCATGGGACACTACAACCACCCTAAATCTATGACTGTTGCCAAGGGGCTGAATTTTTATCATGACCGCCGGGACATTGCAATATTTGTGTGTCAATTTACTGTCATAAATTTGGTCACTAAACAAATGGTTGGAAGTCAAGGACTACCCATATAATCAGACATTGGCTTTCTTCTCTCACTCAGCTCTTACATGATTCTAATCTTGTGTTCCTCTAGCCCATTTCATTCAATTGGAGTAGATATCTATATTAGTCAATATTAGTAATAATTCATTATAATAACACTGTCAAAATCACTATTTTTAGTTTAATATTTTTAAGATCAAAAGGAAGAGGAGACACAAATATTTTGAACTCTTTGGAAGAAAAAGGAAGCTCTGTGTGGTTAAATGTTTGTTGAATTTTAGTAAGCATAATAAACTTAACAAAATACATTTAAGCATGACAGTCCTTCAAAATAAGCCTACTCAATAAACAGACATTAAAGATTAGAAAGATCCTTTATTACTTTATTGTTGAAGGATATAAATATAGAATCTTAAAGGTCTGACAGAGTTTTCTTCTGCCCTTTTTATACCAAACAAAATAAAGACAAAGTTGCTTTTATTTTCTCTTAAGGGTTCCTACACACCTTTGTCAAAATTATTTTTGCATGCCTGTATACAGTAAGTCATTAGCATACCTATATATATGCAGCTGGATATCATAGTGATTAGAGTGCCACCCTTGATGTTGGAGAGTAGGATTCAAATCCTGGCTGGTACCTACATTATCAGTAGGGGTTCTTGGACAAAGATTCCATAGTGCTTCATTTGCCTACCTCAAATATGACAAACTAGGAGTATCATGCCAGCTTGGACATCACTTGGATTAATAAGGTGCGCGTCATATATTTGGGAGCCAGGACAATCTGATAAATGAGCTACTGGAAGAGAGTCTGGAATTGATGGAATGCTACTATAACAGGACATCTAATGTGAAGGAATATATGAAATGTATGAAGAAAGCATAGATGGACAGAAGATTTGTATCTACACTAACTGAGGAAGAGCTAGTTACCTAATGCTTCAACATAGCGAAGAGGAAATTGCTGTCACAACTTGAGATAAACCAATTGCAATTACATGTCAAATTCAGAAGATCTGGAAGAATTGGATATGCAGCCAACATTTGAAGCTGGAACAAATGTTGGAGTACTTTTGGAACCCTCTGACATGCAAAAGTTGATGGGGAAACCAGAATCACATAAAAGCTATGTTAATAACTTAACTGCAGTGTTTCACTTAACAACTGTGGCAAGAAAGGTCATAAAACAGGGCAAAACTCAACAGCTGTCTTGCTTAGTAACATAAATTCTGGGCTCAATTGTGATCCTAAGTCAAGGACTTCCTTTATACTGAGGGATGATTCTCTGTAGTTTCCACAACCCACCCAACTCTACTGTGAAGAGTCTGGGGAGAAGAGTCATTATCTTTTGCATGCAAACTTCTGTTTTCAGGAAATTTGATTTCCCCCCACCCCAAGCCTCTATTTTTAATTGTGTAATTAATTTGAAAAAGGGACTTTAGTCTTTAGAGAGAAGTAATTTATATATGATTGGTTATATAACTATAATTATTTGAGTAATAAAAATCAGATTACTCTTAGGGGAGTTTGAAATCCTATATGACCTTGAATTCAATAGGAATTCTGAATAGATGGCTATAAAACCCATTTTATGTCACCTACTATACACTTCCAGAGAATAATATAACTGCCTTACATAGTACAAATAATATTGCTCTTTTTCTATTTGTAAAAAGTAATTTATTTAGATCAAAATATGCAACAATATGAAAACCACAGAAACTTGATTGTAAATGAAATAAGAATGGATGGTCTAATACAATTATTCTTAATAAGAATATTTGTAATACAGAATGAGAGGACAGAACTCTTTTAAGATTTTCAACATAAGGAAATTATCATTTCCTACAGATCAAAACATTGAATCAGGTACTGAATTATACCATCACAATATGTTGTACCAGTGACTTGTCTGATAACATTGGAACTGCAGTTTTCAAGGTCTTTTTATGTCTAAATTTAAGTACAGAAGAAC